GCAGGGGAGGGGCAGAGAGAGAGGGAGACACAGAATCTGAAAACAGGCTCCAAGCTGTCAGCACAGAGCCCGACGCAGGGCTCGAACCCACGAAGTGCAGGATCATGACCTGGGCTGAAGTCGGGTGCTTAACTGACTGAGCCACCCAGGTGCCCTGAAACCTGTTTTTAATATAGTCTCTCACCTGCCCCAACTGGGGCTAAACTGCATAAGTTGAAGAGCATTAATTGTACTAGGATCAATGTGGCACATATTCCTGATGGTTAATACTACTTGGTAATAACCAATTAAAACATTTTAATTTAAACCAAAGAGGAATATAACATGAAGCAAAAAACAAAATTCACATTAATTTTTAAAGTAAAACAGGAGACTGCAAAGAAATTACAAGCTATTAGGAGTTATTTCTAGACATACAAGCAGACCTCCACAGAGAATGTATGCACTTTCCTCCTGGAAAATTGGTACAATACGGCTTATATAAGCTTGATGCTCCAAATTGCTTACCCTTAATCTTTTAATTCTTCCCCACTATATTGTGCTCATACTGTTCTCTTACCTGTAAAGTCATTATTGCCTATTCAAATCCTACTCAGCTTCTAAACCAACTCAGCTCCAAGTTTTATATGATTGGTAAGAATTAAAAAATAAAGCTGATAGGGGTGCCTGGGTGGCTCAGTCGGTTGAGCATCTGACTTCAGCTCAGGTCATGATCTCTCAGACAGCTCGGAGCCTAAAGCCTGCTTTGGATTCGTATCTCTCTCTCTCTCTCTCTCTCTCTGCCCCTCCCCTGCTTACGCTCTGTCTCTCTCAGTCTCTTAAAAATAAATGAATATTAAAAACATAAATAAATAAAAAGCTGATAAATCTAGGGGTGCCTGGCTGGCTCAGTCAGCAAAGCATGTGACTCTTTTGATCTCCAGAGTCCTGAGTTCAAGCTCCAGGTTGAGTGTAGAAATTGCTTATTTAAAAAAAAAAAAAAAAAAAAAAAAAAAAAAAATCTAGGCAAAACAGAGTAGTCTTCAGTATGATAAACCCTCCTGCTGAAAACAATGATAAAATTAACAGGCTTTGCCCCTGAGGGCACTTTCCAGGGCAGAGGAACAAGCCCAAGCAGAAAACAGGCATACTGAACTAAGGAGCTGGGAGTTCTGGGTCACCAAAGTAGTTGGAACTCTAGAGGCACAAGGGAGAGGTGAGAACCAAGGAGAAATAACCCCCCCAATTTGCATACAAGTATCCTCCTCCTCCTCCACATATTAGCTGACTTCCAAACTGCATATCAATACTCTGTAGATATGAAACAGAAAATAGCAACTGGGAGTCTAAAGAGCTGAAAAGAGATTATAGAAGCTTTGCAGAGCTAAGAACAAAGTTGAAATTTAAGCCCAGCAAAGGTAGAGGGGACTTGGTAAAGATCTGGACTTGCAGTTGAGACTCCAGGGGAGCATCATGTGCTAGGAGTACAGACCACAACCCAGGAGAAAAGACTACTCCCTAGAAGAAAGCAAACCAAAAATAAATAAACCCTAACAAGGCCTAATACTAGCCTCAACAGGATTAATGTAATCTGTAAGAACTGTCTGCCTGCCTACAGGAAACAGCACTCTCTGGAGTTAGTGCAGTTAGTCTTTAAATTTTTTCATCCACAGTGTTCACAGTACAGTAAAAATGTATGGGTACACCCCAACCAAAAACTCCCAAATAAGACTGACTGAAAATCAATTAAAAGAAAAAAGACAATAAAACAGACCTACAGGTGCCTAATATTGGTATTATCAGGCTAGGTCTTTGGCGCATTTGAGAAAACAGAGAAAAAGAGAAGTTTAGCAGAGTCCTGGAATTAAAAAAAAAAAAAAAAAAAAAAAAAAAAAAGAGTTAATGGAAATTTGAGAATTGGAAAATAGGGAAATTAAGAATTTAATAAATTTTATATCAATAGTAGAAAGTAGTTCAGACTAATGCATAAATGGGTAAAACTACAAAAAAATGTAAGTAACATGCAGAGTATGACAATATATCTATTTACAGATGTACACAGAGTCCCAGAAAAAGAGAAAACAGACAATGCAACAGATATAATATTTGAAGAACTACCAGCTGGACAATTTCCCCCAGATAAAGAAAAATATCAAACCACACAAATTCAAGCTCTATGAATACACAAATGAGGTAAATACAAAAGGGAAACACAACTACGTATGTTATAGTTACACTGGTGAAAACTAAAAATAAAATCCTAAAAGCAGCTGAAGAATAAAGACATAACATACAGGAGAACAAAAATTAGAATAAAGTTGTTTTCTTGTCAGAAACAATTTAGTCCAAGATGCCTGGGTGCCTCAGTTGGTTACGCATCTGAGTTTGGCCCAGGTCATGATCCAAAAGGATCTTCAAGTAACTGCTGAAATTATTAAGTAAATTTAGGAAGGTCAATATTCAAAAATCATTTCACTATAACAATTAAATATTTTAAAACAACCATTTTCTACAGCATCATAAAACATCAAATACATCTAATGAAATATGTCAAGATCTCTACAATGAAAAACAAAACAATGCTGAGAGAAATTAAGAAAGATATAAATAAATGGAGAAATAAAGCATGCTTGTTGATTGACTTAATACTGTTAGGTCAGTTTTCCCCAAACTGAGCTACAGATCAGTCCCAGTTTTTGTGGAACCTGCAAGATAATTCTAACATATATGCGATGTATACAGAACCTAGAATAGCTAAAATAATCTCAAAAAAGAAAAAAGTTGGAGGACTTACTAGTGGTGTGGTCACAAGAAAAAATAAAGTGACTAATGAATGAGTCCAGAAGCAGTTATACTCTAACATTTTACTTCTTTGCATTATAGCTATTTCTTTATACATGGCACTTTGCAAAAACTTGTTTTATTCACTTGTGTTCTGTAAGCTTTTTTACTGTCTTTTTTTTTTTTTAATTTTTTTTTTTCAACGTTTATTTATTTTGGGGACAGAGAGAGACAGAGCATGAACGGGGGAGGGGCAGAGAGAGGGAGACACAGAATCGGAAACAGGCTCCAGGCTCTGAGCCATCAGCCCAGAGCCCGACGCGGGGCTCGAACTGACGGAGCGCGAGATCGTGACCTGGCTGAAGTCGGACGCTTAACCGACTGTGCCACCCAGGCGCCCCGCTTTTTTACTATCTTGATAGAAAAGCTGGAGGGGCGCCTGGGTGGCTCAGTTGGTAAAGCATCGACTTCGGTTCAGGTCATGATCTCACAGCTTGTGAGTTTGAGCCCTGCTTCGGGCTCTGTGCCGACAGCTCAGAGCCTGGAACCTGCTTCGGATTCTGTGTCTCCCTCTCTATCTGCCGCTCCACAGCTCACATTCTGTGTCTCTCACTCTCAAAAATAAACATTAAAAAGAAAAGCTGGAGGCAGAAGGCTAAATGCTTTTCAAGCCAAACTAAAATGTCCTTGCTTAGTTCTACAGGCAATGGGGAGCCACTATTTATGAAGTATTTAGGTACTGGATTTAGAGGAACGATTAGGATGTCCCAACACTCTATTATAAATACACTGCTAGCCCAGTATGATTACAACAATTTAAGTGTATGCAAGGTAAAAAGCAGAAAAGAGGGAAGAAATCTTCTAGAAGATAAAATTTGAGCTAGGTTTTAAAGTGTCTACAAAGGATGATGAAAAGTATATTCCAGGTATAGAGACGGCATGCGCAAAATGACAAACGTGGGAACTGTAAGAAGCGGAGTTATTGTTAAAGATAAAAAGTAAGAGTGCTAGTGCAAGGAAATAACATTTGAGAAGCTGACATGGGTCATATCAGAAAGGTCCCTGAACACCAAAATCCTTGAACTTAACTCTTGTAAATCAGTAGCTTTAGGGGTTCAGCAAACATTTCATTCATATTATTTTAAAAATGTACTTTAAAAATCATGAAATATACTTAATTCTATAATATACCAAATGTTAAGTATTTTAGAGACTTCCAAAGCCTCAATTTGTACCAGATTAAGTGACCTTCAGAAAATAGTTTTTCCTGCCATCTGGCTGAATGCAGCTCAATTCCTTGTAGCTTTGTCAGTGACGAGTTAAGAGGACAGCTTTTCACCTATCCTTTTTGGATTGTGACCTGTTATATGCTCACTCACAGAAAATCCCAGAAGCAAATTCATTATTCTAGCAAGGGCATCTACTTCCCTAATGCTCTTGCTTCAACCTACAAGTTAAATGGCAAGGGTGCCTGGCTGGCTCAGTCGGTAGACCATGTAACTCTTGATCTCGGGGTTGAGTTTGAGCCCCACCTTGGGTATGGAGATTACTTAAAAATAAAATCTTTTAAAAAACCGCAAACTGTTGAATCCTGATCCTGTCAAAACTAAAATTAATATAGTTTTGTTACAAATATTTTATTTTTAGTTCTTGTTATAAATTTTAAGTTCTTGTCTTATATATTTGTGATGAGGAATACAAGTTACTGTCAGGTGTTATTAGTGATCCAACTCTTGCTGAAATTGCATCCTAAGAAAGCTGGAAGTTACTGATTGCACACACTAATCCATGCAAACCAAAATACTCTCAATCCCCGTGCACTAAGGCAAAATACTGAAATAAAATGATAAAGACTGCACCTTCATCTAATCCCGATTTTATATTCCAATTCATCGAGTCAAACTTTTGTAGTAACTATTCAATCTCTTTTAGTTCAGATTCCGTATACACGTCTATTTGCAAAAGAACTTCCATGATGTCTTTTTTTTTTTTTTTTTTTTTTTTTTTTTTAAGTTTGAAAAGTCACCACGGCTTAATCGAGAGCCACCGGTACGATCAGATGAATGTTTTTAAAAAAGAGGCCGCGGACAGAGACCAAACGCCGAAAGCGCAGTTACGACGCAGGGGCAGTGGGCGGCGAGAAACGCTGGAAATGCTGGACAAGGATCCCCCGACTCTGCGGACAAGGTTAAAGAAAAGGACAAACACAACCAGGGGCCTGACCCGAGTTCCCGACTCTCACATGGCGGAAGCCGCACGCAAGGAACCATCTTTAGGACTCCGGCCCGACCCGACGCTTCATCCTCCCTCTGACAGACGAAACTCTCAGCCCCTTTCCGGTAAGGCGCAGGAATAAAGACCGACAACACAGCCACTTAAGGAGGCTTACTAAATCCCCTCAGTGAGGCTCGACGCAGGACGCTTCTCTAAGGAACTTAACTCTGACGCGAAACAGTCAGGTAGACCCCGCCCCTTTCCCGCCGAGCTGTGCGGCCGAGCATGCGCAGCACAGCTGGCCGGGAATGATCCAGTTCCCCTTAGCAACAGAGGGCGGGAAGAGCGCTTACAGTCCCGTGGGATCTGACGTATGAAGCCATGCTAGATAGCCACAAATTTGGACACTTAGAGGCTGGGGCAGCGTCGGGATGGACTCAGGAATGGCAGTTAGATTTACTGGATTCAAAAGATGGGTCTCTTAGCAATTTCTGTATATCCCCAATTTCTTCATCCTTGGGTGCCTGTGTCATCTGCACGTGGATTGGAAAGACAAGGTTGGAAAAGTTCAAGGTACAGAGTAAATTACCAGTAAAAGGAATTACCTGCAGCAATAGAGAGGGTTCAGGCCTTTTCCATTTGCGGGTGGTCTTAGTATATTAAGATGATCCCAAATGAGTGTGTAAAAATCATGGTTTATTTTATTTTTAAAAATTTAAACCCAAGTTTGTTAACATATAGTGTAGTAATGGTTTCAGGAGTAGAATTTAGAGATTCATTACTTACATATAACACCCAGTGCTCATCCCAACAAGTGCCCTCCTTAGTGTCCATCACCCATTTAGCCCATCCCCGCACTCAAGTACCCTTCACCTCTCCTCAGTTTGTTCTCTATATTTCAGAGTCTCTTATGGTTTGCTTCTCCGTTTTTATATTATTTTCCCTTCCCTTTCTCTATGTTCATCTGTTTTGTTTCTTAAGTTCCACATGAGTGAAATCATATAGTTGTCGTTCTCTGACTTATTTTACTTAGCATAAGACATTCTAATTCCATCCACGTTGTTACAAATGGCAAGATTCCATTCTTTTTGATTGCCGAGTAATATTCCATTGTATATATATTCATGGTATATTTTATTTGAAAGCTTTTTAAGTGTTTATTTTTGAGAGAGAGAGAGAAAGAGTGCGAGTGGGGGAGTGGGAGGGGCAGAGAGAAAGGGAGACACAAAATCTGAAGCAGGCTCCAGGCTCTAAGATGTCAGTACAGAGCCTGATGCAGGGCTCAAACTCAAGGACCTTGAGATTATGACCTGATCGGAAGTTGGATTCTTAATCAACTGAGCCACCTAGGCGCCCCATTCATGGTATATTTTAAATGCTACTTAACAAATTAACATTTTCAACACCTAAAAGAGTATAGTATCGAATAATTGTGCTATTCCTAAAATCATAATAGGATTATAAAAGATATATAGAGTTGAATGATGAATTTATTGCAATCTTGTCTTTGACCATGCTTCCTGAGATATTATCAAAAGTCTATGTCCAGGTCAAAAGGTCCTCCTGACCCCTGCTGCTATGATCCCTAAATGTCCTCTGCAGTTAACCTTAAATTCAGACCCTTTGGTGATTCTGAATACTACATTGGTAACTGAAGTTAGTTTCTCCAAGTTATTCTTATGTTCCTAATATAATATCTAGTAATTATGTCTATCATTTTATTATTTGTTCTCTGTTCCCTTTCCTTGCCTTCTTTTGGCTAATTTGAACAGTTTCTAGTATTCCATTTTAACTATTTTTTTTTTAACGTTTATTTATTTTTGAGACAGAGAGAGACAGAGCATGAATGGGGGAGGGTCAGAGAGAGGGAGACACAGAATCTGAAACAGGCTCCAGGCTCTGAGCTGTCAGCACAGAGCCTGACGCGGGGCTCGAACTCACCGACCGCGAGATCATGACCTGAGCCGAAGTCGGCTGCTTAACCGACTGAGCCACCCAGGCGCCCCCCATTTTAACTATTTATGACCATATATCTTTGTATAATTTTTTTTAGTGGTTGCTCTAGTGACTGCAATAATCATAATTAACTTTTTATAGTCCACTTAGTATTTTACCACTTCAAGTAAAATGTAGAAATATTATCCCTAAATAAATCTGTTTATCCTCTCTCTACCCTTTTGTTATAGTCATTTTATGTATTAGAATTCTAAACCCCATCAGCCAGTGTTAATAATTTTTGCTGTCAACCAGAAAATATTTTATTTATTTATTTATTTTTGAGACAGAGAGTGAGAGCAGGGGAGGGGCATGAGAGGGAGGGGGAGACAGAGAATCAATCCCAAGCAGTCTGCACTGACAGCACAGAGCCTGATGTGGGGCTTGAACTCATGACCTGTGAGGTCATGACCTGAGCCAAAACCAAGAGCAGGACTCTTAACTGACTGAACCACCCAGGCACCCCAACCAACAAATATTTTTAAAACAACTCCAGAGGAGAATAGTCTATTACATTTACTCATATATTTACCACTTCTGTTCTTTGATTCTTGATGTTCCCATTTCCTTCAGGTATCATTCCCCTGTCTGAAGAACTTCCTTTAGCAATTCTTTTAGAGCAGGACTGTTGCCAAGAAATTCTTCTTGTTTTTCTTCTCTAATAATGTCTTTATTTTACCTCCACTCCTGAAGGATATTTTCACTGGATACAGAAGTGTGTTTTTTGATAGGGTGGGAGAAAAAAAATCCCAGTGAGGTGGTGACCATCAAATGACCATCACTGACCTAATCATAGTACCTGAGAGGTGGAGGACTCTGATTCCAGTCTAAGTCATATAATACTAATTTTGACACCTTCCCTCCCTGGTCCATCCATTTGTGATGTCCAACTCTTGGACAAATTATGTAAGCCAGTAGATTCTCTTTGTACTTAACCTACTTTGATTTGGTTTTCTATCTCTTGCAGCCAAAAGTCCTATCTAGTAAATGTACTCATGAGCAATTGCTGTCAACAAATGTCTTTTATTTTCTAAGTTAACATAAGTTTATCTAAGCAAGATAAAGCAATTGGTCTATAAGATGTGTAGACTCTTGTTTCTCATAAATGAATGACTCGTGCAAGTAAAAAATATCAATGAGAGATAAGCCCTAGGTTTTGTGTAACAGCTTCAGGAGAACTGGAGCACTGAGTGCACATCCCTGCTTCTGATAATAGGATTGAGAAAACACTATAAGAAAGATTGAATCCTGGTCCCAGGTGAGGATTTCCATTGAGTGTGCAAATTGCTTGTTCACGAGGCAGTTATCTAATTTCTGAGACATTGATTTGTATTGTATACTTTCCCTCTCTTGCATCTTTGTCAGAGAGATTTTGGTAGGAGCCAATGCAGAAGCTGTTGGAAGTCAAGAGCTGTCTTATGTTTTATAAAATTCAACCCGACTGAAAAGATTATGAAAGTATCCAGGGAGTATGTGTATGTATGAGTGTGTATGTGTGTGTGTTTGTGTGTATGTGTGTGTGTAGGAGACAGGGAAGTGTCTTAGAGAAAACCAAGGAAGAAAAGGTTTCAGAAGGCTAGGAAGAGGGTGAAGGTCTATAGTGTGATTTGAAGAACGTGTACCATGTTCTTTAACAGCGCTGTGGGGAGACGACTGGACCCTGAACATAAGGAGTTTTATCCTTGCTGAAGATGCGCATGCCAAAGCCACTTGTCCTGTGGAGAACATGCAGATTGGGGCAGTGGCTGTCTCCAATAACCAATCTGGACTACTGAGCCAATCGTTGCAGAGCTTCCTTGATGCTTCAAGGGGGGTAGAGGGGGTAGAGGGGGTGGGGGGGGTGGGGGAGTGGGCCCACCCTAGGAACTATGCAGACCTCTGGTGCCCTTCTTGAGAATGCCAATAATGACTGAGATTAAATTTTCTGCCAGTGTTGCAGTGTGAGGCTTCAGATTTGGAAGAAAATAAATATTATTTTCTCCATACCTGAATATGCCCTAAAAATCATCGCTGTTACTTCTGGATGAAGCATCAGAACCCAACTTAATTCCTTGACTTACCTCTTTTGAATAAATAGCTGAAGAGAGAGGCCCAACAGCAGTCAAGCCATAGTCCTAAAATTCCCCAGGATCTCATCGATAATCAGTGGCAATCAAACCCTTAGGAAAACACCTAGATATTAAGAGTATTCTGGGGTGCCTAGGTGGCTCAGTCGGTTGACTTCGGCTCAGGTCATGATCTCACAGCTCGTAAGTTCGAGCCCTGCTTTGGGCTCTGTGCTGACAGCTCAGAGCCTGGAGCCTGCTTCCAATTCTGTGTCTCCTTCTCTCTCTGCCCCTCCCCCACTGGTGCTCTGTCTCTCTTTCTGTCTTTCTCTCAAAAATAAATGTTTAAAAAAAAAGTATTCTGCTTTGGGTCCAAGAATAGGAGTTCAGAAAGAATGAGAATTAATCCCACAACCTTATTCTTTGAATTCTATACCATCCAAAAGGCTTCTTATATATCCTCCCCCCCCCCCACCATAGCCTGTATCACTTTTATAATGGAAAAAAAGGCTCCATAAATTTCAAAGAATGATGCAAAATCGTAGAATGAGATTTAACTAGATAGTTAGTACACAGCTAATTGCCAATAACAAGAATAAGAATGAGTCAATTCTGGGGCGCCTGGGTGGCGCAGTCGGTTAAGCGTCCGACTTCAGCCAGGTCACGATCTCGCGGTCCGTGAGTTCGAGCCCCGCGTCAGGCTCTGGGCTGATGGCTCAGAGCCTGGAGCCTGTTTCCAATTCTGTGTCTCCCTCTCTCTCTGCCCCTTCCCCGTTCATGCTCTGTCTCTCTCTGTCCCAAAAATAAAATAAACGTTGAAAAAAAAAAAAAAAGAATGAGTCAATTCTGTTTGTCTCCTTAATCAGCCCTTTTCCCTCTTCATCAAGGTTCTTTATGCTGAAGAAAAAATTTAAAAAGCACCCAAATTAAGTGTAACATCCTGTCTCAGGACAACTATTTGAAGTATATATATACTTCTTTTCCCCTGGTTATCAAACACACGAAATGAAACTTTCTGTGGAGGTCTTTCTCTGCATCTCTGCCTGACATGCACTTTCTCTGTTTCTGAAACTATATGTCTTTGTCTCTTTTCAGCCCATCTCCTAGTACTTAACACAATACTGGGTAGGGAGTCACTTGATACATGTTTGTTTGATGAATGGATGGGTGAATGTATCCT